ATGCGGGACTTGGAGTGACCCTTGAGCTTCCCTCTGTCTCCTCTTCCTGTGTGCAGGAAGGAGTTGTCTGTAGTTATCAGGGGTTTGCCTCTTTTCAGCTGAASTTGCTTTGGTGTTTAAATGCAAATCCAGCCCTGGTGTGGCGTGATTAAAGCTTGGTGCTCAGAAGGGTGGTGTTAATTTAAGAATGAAAATTAATGTCAACAGTACCAGCTGTTATATTTTGTATGAAATGAATTCTGGGATGTTAAGWAGTAAAGATTAGCATGGAAATCACTACTCTGACAGAAGAAAACTGGTGACATCAGGGAGTGTCTTCTACAGGTTGTGAGAGAAGAATATTTAAAGRTAAAACCCAAGTCAGGTCGTGATGTGCAGCTTTGTACGTGGAGGCCCTGAGTGAAAGATTCCTCCWTGAGTGATGAGTAATGTCAGCTGAAACAGAGAGGACTTCTAATTGCCTGGGGAGCTCTTGGCAAAGCACCAAGTGCAGATTTCTGTTATTTTCAGCTGCTAAGTGGCAGCTTTTTTTGAAAACAAAGTACAACAAATGATTTCCGGGAATTGCTTTTCTGATTAAACAGCCTTTTGTGCCTGAGGGARGCTGTGAAATGGTGAATGGAAGCCATGCAGATGTGGGGCAGAGGTACCATGGGAAACTCTTTGTTAGGCTGTGCTCAGTGCMGGGAGAAAGCCTGGTTTCCTGCCCGAGGCAGAAGGATCTGCCACTGTAATTCTCAAACTGAATTTGAGAGCAGAAAATCCACCCACAGCCCCGTAAAAGCGTGTTCTCTGTGTTCTGATGGAGGTGGATGGGGGGGCAGAAATGCTCTTGCAGCAGCTGGGGTGTGTCTGTGTGCTTTGGCAGCACAGGGGGCCTGTGCAGTGAGGTTTGTTCATCCAGGGATGCTCTTTCCTCACAGGTGAGCTGTGAGGGCTGTGCTGCTGTAGCTCTGTGGTTTGTGGGGCTGGCTCAGTGATGCTGGTCAGGGTTTGGTCCTCGGCATAAACCTCYCCTCGGGTGCCAAGCAGCAGCTGGGGGTCCACTTTTCGGCAAGGAAGGTTCTCAGGGTTCTAGGCTGAGAGTTTGTGGAAACCTGAGCTTGGGGATGGCTGTGGGTGTGGGAAAGAATTGCCAAAGGGGGTTGTGCAGTTGCTGAAGGTGGCTGTGGAAAAWGGCTGTAGCTGTCAGAGGCAGCATGGACAGAGGGAGACAGGCCAGGGAGAGGGAAGCAGCGCACAGGTCATGAGAAAGGAGCTGTTTCTCCACTTTTCTCCAGAACTGAGCTTGATGAGTATTTGTCCTACCCTTGCATTAACAGGACCTCTTGGTGCCCGGGGGGCTGGTTCCTATTGCACCCGCTGCAGGGCTGGGACACTTGGCTTGCTCTGAGAAGGAGGCTTGAGCCATTCCTGTGCCATTCCTGTGCCATTCCTGTGCCATTCCTGTGCCATTCCTGAGCCATTCCTGTGCCATTCTGTGCCATTCCTGAGCCATTCTGTGCCTGTTTTCCAGGGCTCAGGGCTGGGGGCAGCCCCGGAGGCCACGCAGGACCGGCTCCATGCTATTCCTGAGCTATTCCTGTGCCATTCTGTGCCATTCCTGAGCCATTCTGTGCCTGTTTTCCAGGGCTCAGGGCTGGGGGCAGCCCCGGAGGCCACGCAGAAGTGGCTCCATGCCATTCCTGAGCCATTCTGTGCCTGTTTCCCAGGGCTCAGGGCTGGGGCCAGCCCCGGAGGCCACGCAGGAGCGGCTCCATGCCATTCCTGAGCCATTCCTTTGCCATTCCTGAGCCATTCCGTGCCTGTTTTCCAGGGCTCAGGGCTGGGGGCAGCCCCGGAGGCCACGCAGGAGCGGCTCCATGCCATCCAGGAGAAGCTGGAGGAGCGCCAGCGCATCCTGGCGCTGCCGCAGAGGTTTGCGGGCAGCAAGCAGCTGAGCCGGCGGGAGATGGAGATCGAGAACGCGCTTTTCCAGGGAACAGACCGACATTCCTTCCTCCGGGCGCTCTACCATGAAGGTTGGTGGGCTCAGGGCTCCTCCTGCCTTGGCTCCAGCAYGGAGAGCCAGGCTGTGTGGGAGTCCGACACATTTCTGTCTGGCCTTCTGTCCCTGAAKATGTGGTTCTGCTTTGGTGCTGTGTGGGAGGGGATATTTTCCTCTCTTACAGGAGCAGACAGAGAGTTGGTTTTCTGAAGGGTTTAATATAGAGGCTTTTAAAGTCCATTTCTGGAGAGTGTGGGTCTCCTTGATGGGTTGCATGCAGTGCAGAGCAGCTCAGGGTGTGGGTGAGGAGCTGGGATTTGCTTTGGTAGAGCCTCAGGGTCTGAGTTACACAAAGTGCCTGTGTGGGACTAGAGATTGCTCCTTTTCTGAGGTAACTGCAGGGGAGAAAGGAGCAAGGTAAGGACACGGAGCAGGTGAGAGGAGGAGTGACTTGTTAAATGTTCCTCCCTGAAGTGGAATTGGATCCAGTTCTAGGCTGGGAGATGCCGCTCTCACATTTGTCCTCATTTCCATTAAATAGAATTTAATGATGACCAAAAGAGGTCATTGAGCAATGGATCATGCCGTGGACCTTCCTTAAACCAAGGAACTGAATCTTATGTCCCTGGAAGCAAAAAGTTTCTATTCCATGCAGCAGTGCAGAAAGGCAGCATGGCCCGTCCTGGCTGTGCTTGCAGGAAGAAGGTGTGTGGAAGGAGTACAAAAGGTGCTGGCTGCAGAGAAGCTAGTGAGGGCATCTCTGAGGAGATGAGCTTTGATACAGCACTGGTGGAGCTGCTGCTCTCTGCAGGTTCCTCCTGAGCTGAGGGACCACAACTTGCTGGGGCTGCTCTTGTTTTAAACAAGCTGGGGACAGAGGCTGGGGTGAAACAGSGTTTCTCCTCTCTGTGTCTCTTCTTGGAGTCTGTTTTCCAGGTTATTGGTGATGGTTACCACRTTTCTCTGTTATGAATTAGATGACACTCAGAAGCGAGGAACAGATGAAAAGGACCCCATGGTTCACCTGGAGAGTGTTTACCAAGAGCTGCTGAGCAAGAAGGGCCCTGAAAAAGTCCAGTCTGCTACAAGCGACCCCTGCTTGTCCCGTTCCCCAGCCCCACAGGGGGCTGTGAGTGAGGAGTCTTCACTTCCAGAGCGGGAGGAGCAAACAGAACAGGCAGCAASTGCCAGTGTTTCTGCACCAAAGCCCCACCAGTCCCCTCCAGGACCTGTGGTTATCAAAGAGCCAGTAGAGTTTGTCCCAGAAGAGGAGATCCTCAGGAACCGCCTCTCAGAGGAGGAACTCCGGAAAATACCCAGGTTCTCATCCTACCATCCAGGGGAGCCCASCAAGGTAAGCTGAGATGAACCAGGGTTTGTCCTTGCTCACCAGGRTGCCCTGAAGCTGTGTCAGCAGGCAAAGGCTCCTCTTGGCTGTTGCCTTGACTGATCCTCCGGCCAAGGGGGAGAGCAGCCTCCACTCCAGGGGAAATGGGATGTTGAGTTCTGATGGGAAGTCACAAGCCTGGCAAAGTGCTGTACYTGTGAGCCCAGCCCTCCCTGGCTCTGGCAGGTCACCAGTGAAGATGCGTTCTGTGTGTGGCCTTACTCAAACTGTGCCTGTCTGGTAGCTGGACATTGCTGCATTTTACTTGGTGCAGGCAGGCAGGGTGATGCCTTGAGTTCAGAGCTGCCTTTCTGTCACCCCCTGTCCTCCTAATGTCATCATTAGAACATGGGTGTGAGGGTTGAGCTAATCCACACCCTGAGCTGTACAGACGTGGGACCAGGCTGAAAGGTGTGTTTGTATGGCAAAGGCTGGCTGACGTTGTGTGCCTCTGTTGCAGGTACTGTATTTGAAGAACCTTGCCCCCCGAGTGACRATGAAGGACCTGGTGTCCTTGTTTGCTCGGTTCCAGAAGGAGGACAGCCCGCTGATCCAGTTCCGCCTCCTGAGTGGCCGGATGCGGGACCAGGCCTTCATCACTTTCCCTGGTGAGTTGCTGCCTCGCACCTCTCAGTTCTTCCCTGACTCCCAAAGGTGTCACATCCTCCCGCGGGGCACTGGGCTGCTGCCAAGCCTGCTCTCCAAGGAGAAAGCAGAATTCACTCCCTCCTCTTCCTATCAGACTTGTCCTTTTGCTAGGTTGGAAGAGGATTTATCAGGGCAGAAGTGATGCAGTCTGTCATGTCCAATRTTTGAGTAGCATGTCAGTATGGCTGGAGGGTCCCCAGCTGCAGTAGCTGCAGAGCAGGCTGAGGGGCCATCAGCTGGGAGCACCCATGGGAGCACCGTGTCCCTGTGCTCGGGGACCGGTGCCCACTGTGCTCTCTTGTTGCAGATTCTGAGTCRGCCCAGAGCGCCCTGCAGCTGCTGAACGGGTACAAGCTGCAGGGGAAGCCCCTGGTGATCGCCTTCGGGAAAAGCAGGAAGCATTTGCCAGAGGCTGAATCTGCCATCCCCAGCTCCTCTGCTGCAGAGAACGCCCCTGCCACGTGAGGGRTGGAGAACCAGCAGCCTTGTGGATTTCAGTGAGCTGTGGGAACTCCTTGGTTCAACCGGGGACAGCGAGGGACTGTTGGGACCGCACACAGGTCCTACAATCTCAGAGTGGGGAAGGCAGAGCTGGGATTGGGTTCTTCCTTCAGAGAGATGAGCACTGCCTTCACTGTTGTGTTTGCCTGCTCAGTCTGTCGCGGCAAGGAAGAAGAGGCCAGATAAATAAATGCACTCAAGGAATATTTCCTTAGTGTGTKCTTGGTCACAATTATCCTCCACCTGTCTTTTACAGCCAAGGGTGCTGCACTCTGCTGCTGCAGGACCATGCCCACACTTCAGGGCAGGCTCCCCTAGAGAAAGACACAGCCCTGAGCCCTCCAAGGCAGCCCTTGTGTAGCTCACCAGTCTGCAGGCAGAGCTAAAGCACAAAACCTAAAGCACAGAGTCCACACTTCCTGCACAAACTTTACACAATTTCTAGTTTCTCCTGCCCAACACAACCAAGACTGCCTTTGGAACAACAACACATTTTATTGCAAGAAAAGAAACAAAACACAGGTCATATCATCTCAGACCCCAACCCCCTCTGTTTTCTGTGGAGGTTTTATGTTCATCCTGTGAACATGGGAGTGTTCAATCAAAGGTGATCCGAAAGCTGCGCTCCTGCTCCTTGCGGCGACTCTCACAAACCTTTGTCACYTCTTCCACCTTTCTCTGCAGCACAGCTGTGGGAGAAACAAGGGATTAATTTCACAGGCACCCCAGAACACAGCCCTAGAGAGTTCTGCCTGCAGAATGAGAGAAACATTCAAGTAGGGCTTTTATGGTAAAACACCACCAGTGCCATGAGTAGCTTCTCAGCAGAGGCCTCTAATCAGGCACATCAGGAGAATTCRTGCACAGAAGGGACAGTGSCACTGAAGGTGAGGAGGAAGATTCCTCAAGAAGCTTCAGGAATTCAGGATGCACAATAAACACACATGCTCCTGCTTGCCCTTCACATTCCCCAAAGGCTGCAGGACAAATCTCACCTGAGTTCTGGTCAATCCACTGCAAGGAATCCATGTGTGCATTCAAAATTTTACAGATCTGCTGAAGCTGAGTAGAGAGAGAGAGTGCAAGTCAGTTGTGTCTTTGGCACATAAACAAAAAAGAGGAGTCAAAAGACAAGGTCCTCCTTGCACAGCTTCCCTAAGCCAGCAGCTGCTTTCCCAGGGAAGTCAGTGCAACAACCCTGCTGATTTGTTTCTCTTTGGCACCAAGAAAAGTTTAGATTATATGCTGTCTGTGGCTTTGGCTTATTTTAATATAGGCCTAGGAATCACCAGAATATTCAACATTCTTGGCTTGAAGTGTCAAAAATTAATGTTGAAAAACTCAGTCTGCAATACTGAAGGGAAATTTTTACTGAAAAAAAGCTGCTGAGTAAAGCCATAAGGAGCASCAAGATCAATTTAATAAAAATTATAAAAAATAAAAAGATTGCATTTACCGGGTCACTTGTATCTGCTGGGCCTCTTGATGTGTTCAAGTGCTCAGTGATGTCCTTCAGATCTTGTGCCATGCGCTTCAGCTGAGCATCGATGTTTTCAGCCAGTTTGTAGCTGCAGAGCACATGGGAACCAAGATCAGGACATTTCAAGAGGACTTTGAAGAGCTGCTCCCAGTCACACCAGCTATGGGCAAGCAGAATGAGCTTCCACATCCTGCAGCCAAGGCTGGCAGAAAGCTGGGAACAACTGCCAGAAAGGCTCCACGACCCACAAGAAGCGACTCCTAAGCCCTGTCTCCCTTGATCTACACACGGAGACAGACAACTGAGAGTGTGGAGGACTTCCTCGAGGGCTTTGTCAGAACTGAAGGAAGCAGCGAGCCTSGATTCCTCAAGATTCCTTATCTCCTGAGCCAGACAAACACAGCCTTTAATTATCCAGCTACGATATATCACTAAAGGCTTATGAGGATGCTGGTGTCACACATAGTTCACTCTGCTCTCATCACTTTCATCACTAAGAATCATTAATTTTCAGAAATTATGCCAAAATTAGTAACCTCTTCCCAGACAGCTGATTAGACCAACATCCAAAGAGCTTTTCATGCTGATTCAAGGGCTTCTACTCAYAGTTCTAGTTTCTAATGAGTGAAATCTAAATTGCCATGCATAAAACAGGATTAAATGTCTGACAACAGCCACTCATTGTTCAATCCTGTCACACATCCCAGCTCTGTCTCCTGCTGACTGATCATCACCACAGGACACTGCTCATCCCCCATTCCCAGCAGATTGGTGCCTCACGTCCTCTCCCGTTCCTCATCCGCGTGCTGCAGGTAGATGGTCCCGCTCTGTTCCTTCACAGACTCCTCCAGAGGGGTCAGCAAGTCCTCCAGCTCTTTCTGCTGGGACAGAATGAAGTCCAGTTCCTGATCCAGTCTGAAAGGAGAAAATGCCAACTGCTTCCTACATTGTTACACATATCCCAGAGCTGTCACACAACCAGGCAGGACAATGCAGAGAAGAAACAAAATCCTCTCAAGTGCTCACACTTTCTTACCTCTTCTGATCAACCTTCACCTTCTCCACTTCTCTGTGTAACGAAGTAATCTGGAAACAGAAGACATTTCATGACACTGAAAACTCAGAAGTCAGCTCACCCAAGAAGAGAGGTGGGAGTGAGAAAGCAGCACCATGCAAGTTCTACTGGAAATAAGGGATGGTTACATAAAGATTTACAGACCAAAGATGGAATAARGGAGTTTCAGCATGGAATGATCACTCCTAAAGGAACTTGGCATCACACAGCAAAGTCACAGAACAAATTTCCAGCTCCACGGCCTAAAGGCCAGAACAGACACATTGTGAAAAGCACCCAGGTGGAGCTCACATCTGTTTCTTTTATAAGCAGAAAGTCAATTCAGTGTAACACTGAGACCTTTAAGGAACTAAGGAAAGCAGAATTATGTTCCACTGGAGGTCACCTCACCTTCTCTCCATTCTCTATCAGCATCCGGTCCCAGGCATTCACTTGTGTAGCTTGATGGAGAAAGTGCTTCTCTTGGTCTTCCAGCTCCAGGCTCCACTTGTTTATCAAACTCTCCAGCTGGGCATAGGTCATCACTGGGGGGGCACTGAGAGGGAGAGAGGGCAGGACAGGACATAGGGTCAGAAAAGAGAAGAGAGACACCACAACAGTCACCTATTTCCCCATTCTCCTCCTGATGTCAGCATCAACACTGCAGCTGCTCCTACCCCAGGCAGGAAATGGTCAGTGGTAACCAAACACTCACCTGGGTGTGCTGGTTGTGGTTATGGCAGCTGTGGAGGTCACAGCTCCAATGGCACCAGTTGTAGTCAAAGGCTTCAGATTCAAAGGAAAGCCAGAAGCAGAAGTCGTCCCTGCAAGAAGAGATTCAAGTCGAGGAAYAGAAGAGGRACACACCTGGTACCTCCCAAACTGAGAACAGGGCCAGGGTGCACTGCTAAGCACAGGRATGGAGGAGCTGCAGTAGATCCCTCTGAAGGGACCACCAGCAAATCCCACCTCTGTCAGGAGGGGAATGGAAATATCCCCAGCCCACACCCTTTAAGGATACCCTTCTCAATACCCTCATATTTTACTCTTAGACCTAATAACAACCTGCACACCCAGTTCCTCTCCTGTAGCATTGCAGCAGAWGGGACTTTATGTTCTCACAGAGTTACTGGAGAGCTTCACAAATCAGAATTGCTCTGCTGCTACTCTCACATGGCCCWTTACACCTCTGCAGAGAACTGAAATCACGCTCTCTTCAATGACTCTCATTCCTACCAGTGGCAGTGCTTGTTGTGGCAGCTGTTGTTCCAGGAACCTTTAATCCAAACCCAAGCGTCCCCAGGCTGGCTGTCCCAGTGG